TTCACGTAAAACAGAATATGAAATTCGAAACAAAACGGCTGAAAGAAAATTTCGCATTCGCACACACAGTGACAGAAACATTCTATTATTTTCTTTTTAAATTCCCTCTACTGAATCGTCTGCAATGTACCTAAAAATGTATCAAAACAAATTCCACAACTTAGTTAAGGATTTTATAGAAAACCAAACGTACATGCGTACAATCGCTACATGCAACAACTCAACCAATCGTCCAAATAGAACGGTGGCGGAATATAAAGCGCGACGCCCGCTGACATCATCTGACGCCAGATTAATGCAAGCGATTAGCCAGCATTATATTATTATATTTAGGTAGGCTGTTTGGCTTGCATTCCGGGACCGTCTGGCTTCCTGGCGTGTAATAAAACAAATGATAGTGACAATTGTAATTTTCAGGCTGTAGATGAGAAATCAGTATTCAAGTACGAAAATCAAATCACAAGTATGAAAATGCGTACATTCCTCATACAAATTGGAAGCCAACTAAACTTTAGGATTGATTTGCGGGTGATCTCAGTTTAAAAAGTGACTCACTTGTCATTTAACTTAAAGTAGTTAATTGGTTTTGTTAATTAAAAACTCACACCGACATAACTGCACGCAGGAGGATTTAATGAATGCTGCTGACAACGCCACTCTTGTAGCGGAGGTTTGGGCTGACACTGTGTAGGTTTGTTGTCGACACGATAAGAAGAAGTAGATACCAACATAGCCCAAAGAATTGCTAAGATCAGCTTGGCAGTCCGTAGGGCACATATTTCGTAGAGTTGATGGCTGTTAGGGCAGAAAAGTTCTCCAGTGGCGACCACGGACCGAAAGACGTAGTGTGTGCAGACCCCACACTAGGTGGACCGACGATCTGGTAAAGGTCGCGGGAAGTGCCTGGATGCGGGCAGCGCAAGACCGGTCGTTATGGAAATCCTTGAGGGATGCCTTTGTCCAGCAGTGGACGTCATTTGGCTGAAACGTACGAATTAAAACCTCATTCTTCTATCTACTTAACCCAGATACCTTATGTTCTATTGTCCCCGCGAATGACGAATCAAGTGCAAGCAGTGTCCTTTAACCGATTGCTAATTGTGCCTTTGTTCTTCGACCTTAACCTATTAACCTTCCAAGCCATCCGCATGGCAGCCGGCCAAGCTGGCTCTCTTTGTCCAGTATTGTCTCCCGATTGGAGAGTTATGGCTCTTTGTATGGACGCACTAGTTTGGCACTATGACCGCGTTTGTGGCACTACTCTGTCTGTAGGTAGTATGCGTAGGGCTGGCGATTTGATTTTTCCAATGCTGATATAGATCCATTGAGTGCTACTGCTCTTGGAAGATTAATTAACATTTATCAATTATGTATGAAGTACTTATCATATGAAATACTTGGTTGGGTCTAATAAATAACTACTGAAAACTGCTCTTCTACTATTTCTTGTCTCTATTTCTTTGACTCTACATTGCAAGCAATGATATCGCCGTTTTTTGACCGTACGAGGATTCTAGCCGTTGTTATTTCTGGATTTTCTATCTTAATGTAGAATCACTCAAAAAGTACTAAGCTAATTTATATTCTACATATTTATTTTTATAACAAATCCTACCTAAATTACATCTGAAGCTTCTCAAATAGTCGTAGATTCTGAAATGTAGCTTTGATCTGTCCTTTTCTCTTATACATCTCGCTATCACATACTATAGGCATACTGTAAGTTAATCATTAACTGAACTACTGTTTGAAAATCAATTTCTACGCGTACTTAAATCAAAATTTATGCACTGTGCTGTTAAGTAGGTATAATAAATCTTTCGTCTAACTTAATATAGCCACAATGTGTATGTTAAATACCTAACACATTCACTCCAAAGGGCGCCTCAGAGCAAAAAACCCAGTTCATTGTCTGTCCCAACAGCTCATAAATACACATTTTATCATACAAAAGATAGTAAACATCACAGAATGCAGATTTGATCGCCGGACGATTACTCCGAAGTTTGTTAACACCAAGCTCGCAGTTTTGTGCTTGGCGTTCACTATAGAAAAAGTAGTATTGTTTTTTAGTATTAACTTTGAACCTACCACAACACAGAGCACATAGTTGTTGAGGTCTTTTTTTAAAAAAAAACAAAAACTCCTTGAAATGAAAATTTATTGATAAGATTTTAATGTAATTAAATTTAAAAAAGCGTATTTACTGAAACAAACCTACTGAACTGACAACTTAAAAACAATTTCCAATGGGTTTTATGATTTATATATTATTATCAAAGTGTGCTCTAATTCTGCAGCACACTTTTTTCTTATTTTTGGAAAGAGCTTTTATGGTATACTTAAACTTTCCAAAAAATATCCCCATCCTGCAGTGTGCATTTCTTTTAATATTTATTTTTTACAAAAATCCAACAAGTGAAGTCGGGTTGAACACCCAGTGTCACCAACTGATTAGCAATTCCAGACGTACGCTCGCCAAATACAATACGATACGATGATCCGCTAAAACAGTCTTGGTACATACGAGTACTAACCTGTGGTCACCTCGGGTTTAGGGTACGTATCTTGAAAACGTTCGATTTGAAATCGTATACGAATTCGCATAATTACCACGCGATGTCCTGAAAATATTTTGATTTCTTTTTCGTGATTTTTCATTTAGTAAAAACAATACAAGACAAACAACGGGAAATAAAATCGTTCTTCTAACTAAAAAAGGATTTTTCGCACATGAAATTCGATCGCTTCAAAAATTCTTCCTCATATGTATGATAAGGCTCTATCATAAACTCAGAAGGACAGCGGGTTGTTGAAATACGAACACGAAAATACTTCACTCTTGATTTATTATAACTTCTTCTTATAATAGTTAGGCACAGTAATTATTACAATAATAAGTAGGTAACAAGATATCCGATACAGTGGTTAGGACAATGTTAACGGTTTCGATTCTGCAGCGAGACTGCGCTCCTCGACACCGTTACCCATAACGAAAACTTCCCCTACCGCAATGCGGCGGACGTCGCATTGACCAAGATGTTCCCGCCTTGGCCAATGGGAAGTCAGCAACAATACTTAATATTAACTAAATACTATACTATAATAATAATAATTATGGACTGAGTAACAAAATTAATTAATGATTTATGGTACTATTTATACACATTAAATATTTGTATTTGATAGCGGAAGTAGTAAAATTAGGATACAAACGTTACTTTAAATGAACTAAATACAATATTAATTATAATGATCATGAATAAACTAAAATACATTTATTTAGTGAATTATAGTCATACTTATGTACATTACACATTAGTATTTGATGCCGGAAGTAGTTAAATTACGACAACTCGGCCATCTATCTTTAAACGAGTCCTCTCGTTAATTTAAAACATGAAATTGGAATACATTTAGATATATAATAGGTTTATTACATAATGTATTGTATTCTATAATTATTTTAGAGTAAATGCTCATTTTCAATTTAATTCAATTAGTGACATAAATGAGAGCAATAAAATGTTAAATAATCCCTAAATACCAACGTCAGCACATTAAATCATAGATTTAGCTACCGAATCGCACATGATGCCCATACAAACTTACATTCCATATCGTCAGTTGCAGGTTCACTTGGGGTAACTGACAAAATACAGTTTTTCAGTAGAGCCGTTTAAAGTTTTTTTTCGTCTTAAATCGGACATAACTTTTTTCCTATTTAACCTTTTTTGGATCTGTTTTTACAGAAATGCTTAGAATTCTACGCGGTTTTCGATTAAATAAAAAGAATTATCTAATATGTCTTAGTTAAGGAAATAAATTGCAGTTACACCAATGTATTTTTGTACTTTTGACAGTTACACTAATTTTACACCATACTTTTGGACAAAACATAGGTCAAATTGGTGTAAGTACTTCCCAAATTAAAATAATTTGATGCATTTGCTGGGTTTTGTTTACTTAGTTGCTGTATAATTTATGTAAAAGTATTAAAAAATAAGAGAATTCATGAAAAAAATAACATTTTGTCGTTTTCTTTATTTTTTTAAAATTTTATTAGAAGTAACTTTTATTTTATTCATTAAAAAATGATAAAAAAGNTTACGACATATGATAATAATATTTATTCAATAAGCAGTCAATAACATAGTGGTAAATAAGATAGCCATAATCGACTGCTGCTTGCTAGGTGCCCTTTTCACTTATAGCTATTATTGATAAGAAAATTAACATCATAATATTCAGCGTTTAGGTACGTGTCACTAAAGACACTTTTCATCAATTTATTTTTCAGAAGTAATATTTTTTGTTTAAATTTTGATATTTTGACACTATTTGTGTATTTGACTATAAACTACTCAAATAATTCATGCTCATCACAATATGTAGTTAATTTACCTTATAAATTCAAGCCAACTTTAATAGTTTGAAATAATACAAAATAAGCAAAATGAAAATATCGTATTCAAAATATATTCAACACTATTGTTATTAGGTTATCGACTTCTGAACCTTTAGTTGTAAACCCCTCAAGCAGCCATTGAACAAGTAATATATACAGAAATATCTATAATACCTTATTTCACTTAAAAAATCATCAAAAGTCAAGTACCTTCACAACGCCGAGGATTTAACACATTTGCGGCACGTGTCGCCGTATCGCGCGTGCTCTTGGCATATCAAGGTACTGATTATTGAAATCAAATCGTTATGTTTTTTATAAAGCGAAGCTTACTTTGTATTTTTCTGTTTTAAATAATGTTTAAAGCGATACTTTTTTTTGTTAAGACGAACAGTCGCTTGTTGGTTTGTTTTACTTTCTGTTTAAAAATAGTTTAATAGAATATTGGTAAATAGTAGTAGTAATAGTAGAAAATAGTAGAACGCGTCGTGTGAGATGTAACAAATTACTCATAATTATAAGACTCCCGAAACTACCCGCATTAAAAGTGTAATTATCCTGCTTTCGCCTCCNATGCCCATACAAACTTACATTCCATATTATACAAGTTATTATACATCCTTAGGCATTTATATACATTCATAATCATAACCCTACTTAACGACCATTTAGTTCATAACCTTAACTAGAGTGCATATTATATTTAGTCCTCACATCCTTAGACATAATATTATATACATTAATTTATATCATAAGTCATAACCTTACTTATTGACCATCTAGGTCATGACTAACTAGAGTGCAGACATTTTGTCCATACATCCTTTAGACATAATATGTATAATATACATTCATTCATTCATAATCATCCTTACATAATGATCATCTAGTTCATGACCTTAACTAGGGCGTTTAAGCCAGTTGCCCGGTCCATGACGTTGACCGTTACCGGCAATAATGACTGCTGTGCCGGTTGACGACCTTAACCAGCACAACAAACTTAATTTAGTTTTTACCCTTAATTGTTGTGGATGCCTAATTAGTAGTGACAGTAACAAGCCTAAAAACATAGGTATTCAAGAAGCATCAGACCCATTACGAGTCTCATTATCAGACTGATGACGTCTCATCAGAAGAAACAGACTGTGTGATAGAAAGCCAGGGAAATATTTTATCTACCGCGATTATAGCCTTTTATCATTTACGCTTTCGTGTCTTCTACGTATCGGACATTCGGAAGTACTTTCTTGATACGGTAGGGACCTCTACATTTAGATTCAAGTTTCTTAGACTGTCCCTCGATTCCAGTTGTTGCACGTATGATCCTAACTAGGTCACCTACTCAACGCATCTACATGTGCCATCCTTTAACCGGTATATCCATTAAGACTTTACTGGTACTTATTTAATTTCGCGAGACCCCAACAAAATATCACTAGAGCTAACAAGTGTGCATTTTACGGTTCTGTAAGGGTCTGATTTTTGGAATATCACATCTGTGCCCGTTTTTATGATTTTAATGGTAGGGCGTTCTGTAAATGTGTGACCTAATAAGAGGGGCATGGTATGATATGGTCATCGACCACAAGAATGTTTACATTATGTTTGGTAGTCCCCTGTATCTCAACAGTTGCATATAACGAACCAATAGGATGCAGCGTCAGCAATGCCTTTTAGCAATGGGCCACTTACATCCTGCCATTTCAATTGTAGCCGTTTGGCTTCGCTAACTCGTATCAAAGTACCTTCGCTACCTAAATCAACTAAACAATGCAACAACTGATTATTGATTTTGGCAGGCATCTTATATTTAAGGCTAGTATTGAACCCGTTATCAACGTTTAACCGCTTTTACTCTTATCGTCTGTGGCAATACTATTTTTCGATTTAGGGCAGTCCGCGACTAAGTGGCCTAGTAGTTTGCAATTTGTGCATTGAAGCCTGGGCTTTGGGCAGCGCAAAGATGGATGACCCTTCTCATTGCAGTTATAGCATAGTAAATTATTATTATTGGAGTTTAGAAAGGTATTAGCAGATCTATCATTAGAATGAGTTGGGTTATTATTCAGTTTTTCCCTGTCCCTATTCCTCGCGACGTCGTTATTGGTTCTATCATGTCCTACCTTAATGGATTTCAAAAACTTGAGAACTTGTTCAGGTTCATTAAACTCGGCACTTTGCCCACCTACCCGTACATTCCGATCATCAATACCAGCTAACAAGCAGTCTACTGCGCGTCTACCTGTGATTTCGCAACGATTCAAGAGGTTCATTTTTGAATAATAATATAGATCCAAAAATTCTCCGTAACGGACACGTTTGGCTAGCATTTCCGTTAATAATTCTGCGTAATTTTCCCTCGTTGGGAAAGATTCACGCAGCTTTATTTTCCATTCGGACCACGAATGAAGTAGAGAAGGTAACCCCTGATACCATGTTTTTGCTATACCCTGAAGCTTGGACATCGCGTAATAAACTATCTGCCTATCACTCCATCCGTATATTTGAGCGCATTCATCTACCTTATGAATCCATGCATCTACAGTCTGTTCCTTATTTAAAGGGTCAAATTCGGGCACAACATTTAGGACCGGGAACTTGTCACTGTCGCTACTAGTCTTTAAATTGCTCATTACATCAATAAATTTCTGAAAAAACATATTCTGGACATCATTGCTATTATTCTTATTAGCTACATTAGATACAGGCGATTGCGGTACGTTTAGTCTAGACCTCGACCTTGATCTTGATTTAGGTGATAACCTTCTATCCTTGGAATTATTAAATCTGATATGCTCACGTGAATCTGGCCGCCTTGAAGTAGATCTTGAGCGCCGTGAGCACCTCGAGCGCGACCTCCTCCGTCTTGAACGCCGGATGCACGGGGACCGGGTTGGAGAGCGACCTCTGGACTGGCTGCGGCTCCGGTCTTCATCAGAAACCACTGCATGGTGGCAGGATTCCCTCGCCTTCCGAGACTTGGACCGACGACGTCGGTAGGCTTTATCCTTGCCCATGGTTCACCTCGGAACAGAAATATTACATTAATGCCGTATTCATTCCCACTACGTACGTAGCTATGCTTCGTATTGAAAACACAAAGTCGATTGGACCACTCAATATTATGGGCAGAAAACTTTCATGTTATGTTTGAATATAACGACTTAAAATGCTAGGGTACATTAGAAATAATCGAAATTATTATATTCTAGTAAACACTAAATCAAATTGTTTTAATATTAACCTTAATAATATTTCACTCCGAATACTTGTAGTTACTTCCACTAGACATGCAGCATATAATTATACGCATAAATCAGATGCCTAGACTCATATGAATGTAAAATATTGGAAGGCTCGAAACCATTTTAACCCAGTGATATTTCGATTATATACTCATTGGGTAGGTAATAATACCTGTATTGTGTATTATTTGTGTATAAAAACAAAATTTTTCTTCGTGTTAATTTTCAATACCAATTGTGGTGGTATGCACGAACATAAGAAAAAAAAATCTACCAGTACATCAAGTAACTTGCATTAACACGGTCATACAAATTTGATGTTATCATAAACTACTTTTTGTAAAATATGAAATAATCAGGATAGAAAAGACAAAAAAAAATGTCGGTACTTACACTTCGTTTTGCAGGCGTTTTTTTCAGATCCCACTTCTGAGATATGATAAGGCTCTATCATAAACTCAGAAGGACAGCGGGTTGTTGAAATACGAACACGAAAATACTTCACTCTTGATTTATTATAACTTCTTCTTATAATAGTTAGGCACAGTAATTATTACAATAATAAGTAGGTAACAAGATATCCGATACAGTGGTTAGGACAATGTTAACGGTTTCGATTCTGCAGCGAGACTGCGCTCCTCGACACCGTTACCCATAACGAAAACTTCCCCTACCGCAATGCGGCGGACGTCGCATTGACCAAGATGTTCCCGCCTTGGCCAATGGGAAGTCAGCAACAATACTTAATATTAACTAAATACTATACTATAATAATAATAATTATGGACTGAGTAACAAAATTAATTAATGATTTATGGTACTATTTATACACATTAAATATTTGTATTTGATAGCGGAAGTAGTAAAATTAGGATACAAACGTTACTTTAAATGAACTAAATACAATATTAATTATAATGATCATGAATAAACTAAAATACATTTATTTAGTGAATTATAGTCATACTTATGTACATTACACATTAGTATTTGATGCCGGAAGTAGTTAAATTACGACAATGATCAAACGAACTTACCAAGTGAAGTTCGATCTAAATTATCCTGTTTTCGCCGAAGAGATTTAAGGTCCCTCCCAACCCGAAGATTTCTATATCTTCTTCCCTGGAGGTAAACGTCAATGTCATCTCTTCTCTAAATATAATGAGACCGCTCGGACACCGAGCCCACAGCGTGGTAGGGGTGGGGTTGCCCGCTCTTTTGTTTTTTAATACTACTACGCTGAATATTGTGTGCGGATTGGGTTGTCGTACAGGGGTACTACATGGTAAAATAAATCTCTTCGGCGAAAACAGGATAATTTAGATCGAACTTCACTTGGTAAGTTCGTTTGATCATTCAATAATAGCTCAAGTGATGATTTTAAAAGTAAAGTTTGGATGAGTTTCAACAAATAAGTGTAAATGTAACCGGAGCTATGAGACAGCTTACCCTAAAAAAATTCGGTTACTCACTTCTTTTGTAAACTGCATAATGAATAAATTATGAAATTAACAAGTGAAAACAGTTTCTGTGTAACCAAGCTTGCAGTACAGATGACACCAAGCTAAATTCCACGATACCTTATGTGACTGTAACAGGTTCCATTTTACAATAAAACTGTATAATCTGATGCGCTGTTGACTGTATCACAAATTCATCAGAACTGTCTAGATATAGAGTTTATTTGATATTTGACGAAACTTCATAAGCATCTCAAACACCGGCCTAGAGTGACTTAAATACATTTGCATACATCATCCTAAACTAACAAGACAATACACCCTTCGTCGTTCCAAATAAGAATGCGACGTGTAATTATGACAGCTACTGTAATGCCACTGGTTTGGGCAAATGGGTCGATGAGGAGAAAGAATGGAGAGATAAAACAATTTGGAGACGGCAAAGAGGTTAACGTTTTAAAAGTGGTGTGTACGTGGCATTCGTTGGTTAACAATTGAAGGAAATTTTGTGAAATAGAATAATAAATTTACCCTTTCAGCTTTTCATAAATGGTTGTTAAAGTGAAAATCTTTTAATTTTCTCATTGTGTTGTCTTTTCAAATGAAGTTATGTACAAACATAGAGAATAAAATTATTTGTTCTAATTCCGCTGTGTGGGTCACAATTCTGGTATCAGAATCTATGAGTGAACAATAAATAGAGCGATTGATTTGTTCGTTTTCTTAATAAAAAAAAATATAAAAAAATGGTATCAAGAGGACAAAATTAAATGTCAAGTCTCAGGATATATTTCTTTTTGGACGTTAAAATTGATTAAAATCTGCAGTTTCCATATAACTAAACCCAACTATAACTAAATGAAATATAACTAAACACAAATATAACTAAACCAAAAAAGATTAATTGTAACAATTAGGTAAATTAAATAATGAAATTATTTGTTCAAAAGTTACTTGGCACATCCAAAGGCTTCGTGCCTCTATATTCGTATATACTCTTATATTTTCTATTTAGGCATACGAACTCATTGTCTACACTTGGCGAAGTCACAAAATGTATGCTCTACACATTCATACTTTTCTGCTCTTGTTACTTTATTACCAACACATAAAGTTCAAATTAAAAGTTATCTTCAAATCTTCAGTTTGTATCACACTAATCCATTTTAAACACGCAGTAACACGATTAACGATGACTCTTATTACACTTTGTTTAGGACTGATATTTGAATGTATAATAATGCATAATTCGGTAGCTAACAGGGCCAAGTGCATTGTGTTCAATCTCAAATTATGTATGAGTCGAAAATAAAAGGCTTGTTTTGTTTTTTGGTGCCCCATTATTACGTTTGGGGCCGTCTGTCTGTCACATATTATTTTATGTTTGATGACGTTGACAATTTTTGGTCTAATTTACATTTTCCTTTTTCAGTAGATGTCACCGTGACAACTGTCTAAAGTAGATAAATTATATTTTTATGGTAAACGAGAACAATATTCCCAAATTAGCCAAGTGACGTGAAAGATAGTCATAAATAAGTTTTAAAACATTTATTTGTATAAAAAAACTTTGAGTAGAAACAATCAGGCTTCTCACAATCAATCTTGACATTACAACATTCAATATCCCATGTCACATAAAAATATGATAACATAAAACCCATAATTTGGAAGTTAAACTTTTATAATTAGTTAAATTAATAAAGTTAATAGCAGTTAGCGTTTATAAATCACTACCATTACTCAGCCGATAATCGCATAATCGAAATGATCACGCGTCAAAACTAAGTATACAAGCTTAGATTACAATCATTAGTAGGCGTACACCGCAGGACAAAATTATGGTACTTTAAATTAACTTAACTTTGTTGCATGCAGGTAAATACTAATTAAAATCAATTAAGCTATGGTTAATTGCTCATAAATAATCTAACAATGTTTCAGTCAAAGTGATATTTACAAACTTTGAAAACACTAAAATAAATGAAAATATTGATACTTGCAAACATTTGTGTATAGGTTAATGATGACTATTGTTGGGAACCGGTGGGTGGACCAACCTCTTGTCTATGTTTTTATACTTTTTTACTCTTTTTGATACCATTTGTTTCTAGTTTTGAAGTTTATGTTTTTTTGATAGCCGTCTGGGCATTTAACGCAGAAATTACATCTTTATTTTAAACCGAAGATATTTTCTTATTTCCGCACGCCCGAGTGGCTGTCCGCTAAAACTATCAACAAGCATTATTTTTGGGCATCGGTGTATTCCAAGATAAGCAGATATAATCTATTCAGCTCCTGCACTTCTTACACTGCATAATTATACTCTTACATACATTTTCAATACACGCATCATGATGCTCTATCGTTAATCAAACTTGCTTGTACCAGTTTTAAATTTATATAACTGGCACATTTCCTTGTCCGCCACTGCATTTCACTCACTCAAACCATCCAAAGCTCCCACATATTAGAGCGTGGGTGTAGTTATTATTTCACCCAATTATAAGAAACCCAATGATCTCTCAAGACACCTACACCTGGGTTTGGTCTTGAAGATTATTATTTTTACGATAAAGTTAAGATCTCATTAGTAAAGAAGAGAAATTAATTGTTTGTACGAAGTCGGATATTTTTAATGGCGGTTGAAATGGGAAGTTGACAAATCAAATATTTTGAAAGTGATCTCATGTTACATTTTAGAAACCTTCCTTCATAATGTGGAGGTATTCTTTCTTACTCATATAAATAAATAGATACTTTGTTTTACAATCCTAAGAACATAAATCACACCACTTCACCATTGGCGCTAACTTGTGAGCGAAGATATTACAGCCATTGAATTAACCTAAAGTTAGAACTAAAGTCGCTGACATAGCCCGACGGATTAGCAAGCTGAAGTGGCAATGGGCAGGGCTCATAGTATGCAGAACTGACGGCCGATGGGGCAGCAAGGTTCTGGCGTGGAGGTAGGTCGTCCACCCACAAGACGGACCGACAACCTCATAAAGGTAGCCGGATGCAGGCCGCCACCAACCGGCCAGTGTGGAAATCATTGGGGGAGGCCTATGTTCAGCAGTGGTCGTCCTATGGCTGAAATGATGATGATGATGATGAGTTATCATAACTTATTTCGTATAACTGCTTATGTTGTTATTTAATTTTCAGCATTAGGAGTTGCATCTCAAACTAATTTGAAAATTATAAATAACTTAAAAAAATCGAACTGCCTAAGGCGGGAATTGAACATTTCGACGGGTTCATTCAGTGTCTAAGTAGCTCCGTTGGAAGAGCAGTCGCCCGGCAAGCGGAAGGTCGTGGGTTCAATTCTCGCCTTAGGCAGTTCGATTTTCGATTTTTTCAAGTTATTTATAGTTTTCAAACTGTTATGTTGTTTAGTTATTTAATTTTTAGCGTTAAGAGTCGCATCTCAGTCTGTTATGTTGTTGTTAGGCGTAATAGTAAAAAAGTTTGTAATAAGGGTCTACCTTCACATTGATAAATAATTTGAATCTGAATTAGTAGCGTAAATAAAACACACACGCCTATCAACCACTCGTATCTATCACCGACGTGCCAACCGATTACCGCGAAGCCATTAACGAATTCTTCTAAAAATAACCACCGAACCTGAGCCACCGACCGCCTGAATACAAAACGATTCTAATCCGATTTAAATTCATATCGATATCGGCGACGCGTGCGCCCGCTGCGGTTTAAACGCCGCGCACGCGCCGCTCCTGGCGCTGTGGTGGCCATTATTTGTGGTTTAAGTTTACTTTTATTGAATACTAGCTGACCCGGCGAACTTTGTTCCGCCTTAATGGCAATAAATAAGCAGACTTTTTTTTAATTTCGAACGGGATAAAAAGTATCCTATGTCCTTCTCCTGGCTCTAAACTACCTCCCTGACAATTTTCAGCTAAATCGGTTCAGCCGTTCTTGAGTTATAAGCGAAGTAACCATCACGACTTTCTTTTATATATATAGATTTCAGATATACATGTCAAATTCTGGAATGTTCTGGAATGGAGGCCGCGTACCAGAAAACGCAGCGTGGGACGTCCACCTACAAGGTGGACCGACGACATCGTAAAGGTATCAGGGAAGCGCTGGACGCAGGCCGCTACCAATCGATCAACATGGAAAGCATTGGGGGAGCCCTATGTTCAGCAGTGGACGTCCTATGGCTGAAATGATGATGATGATGATGACATGTCAAATGTAATCGAATAGATTCTGATTATAAGAGATAGCAAAAAACATAATGTTAAAGAAACACTTATACTAGACTAAAGTACCTCTAGCACGAAAAACTTTCGACTTCGTCGTTCGTTTGCGTATTGGAATCGCCATCAAAAGACTGAGTACGAAAACTAAAACAGTGCCCTTGTGAACGTGTCGTAAAGTGAACTTAGTATGAGAAATGGTTGCATGAAACTTATTTTGACAATCAAAATTGTCACGTTATCGTTTCATTCGAAAGTTGAGTATCTAATTTTTTGCGAATACGCAAACCATTCGAA